ATTATTTTATATCCTACTTAATAATACATTGGCAAAACTCTATTTGATAATGAGTAGAAATGATCACATTCTAAGATTATGAGTCATAGGAAGGAGATGTTATGAACCACAGATTAATATTAAAGGTGGAGAAACTGAGCCAGTAGAACTAGGGTTTTAGGAATTAATTCCTGTGGAACCAGAACCCAGCTTTTGCAATCTCACCTCGGTCAGTTGGGAGAAGCCATCATCCTCCTACTTTTATCTGTTTGTTTTATGCCTAAGAAGCTGACTGTGAATGGGTAAAAGATATCACTCTTTGGAGTGTTCTATTTCTGCTACTTCCACTGTTTCATGTAGAAATCACTCCTGCCTCTTTTCATCTGTGGCCTAAGCTAACAGAAGGAAAATTACAAGAGTCAAATATCCCCTTTTCTGAACTTTGACCCTCCTGGAGCTCTTGAAAATATTCATATCATGTCATTCTTGATTAGATGGCCATAGTAGCAAGTAACAATCACTCTCATACCTGGCTTCATCTCAAAGAAGGTCTTCAACAAATGCAGAAATTAAGCATGTCTTTTTTACCTTTTTTCCCCCAGGTTTTAGTACAGTAGAAGAGAAGAAATGTTCTTCCTCAGATTTCCATTTTGTCTTTAGATCATCAAAGCAAAAATGCAAGGAATTGGAAGACGCTTTAAAATCAGCCTCAGGTAAATGTGAAGGGAGTAATCTGCATTGCAAGCTTAACCTCTGTTCTACTCTCTTTTGGTCCATTCTTGGTCTCCTAGGGCTTTGGAAGCTTTAGCAGGTGTTCCACTTTGTGTTTTGCATCTATTTGATTAGTTTCCCCTCTGATCTCTCTTTCATAAGTAACAGCAGTGAGGCATCACACAGGGTAGGGCATTCACTGGGTATCTCCTCTGTATTGTAAACATGATCTCAGTGTGCACCACCTTCCACCCTTATGGTGGTTGGCGAACAAGCCCAGAAAAGTGACAATATCAAGGGAAGGTTCAGTTCCACTCTGTGACATGAATACTAAGTGCAGACAGGGTTTTGGTGCATGCCAGTGGTAGTGGGGTGGGTGCAGGAGGTGGTGTGCTAGTCTTTGAGTGGTTGAAGAAGGCATTGGAAGGGTAAACTCATCTAGACTGGGAAGGTACCATGTTAAGGAGTTTGGATTTTATTCTGATGGCTACGGGGTGCCATCAAGAGATTTGATACAGGGAGAGATTAAATAAAAGATTACATAGCTAAAGTCATAGAGAAAAAAGAGAGATGGAGAAGGAATAATATGATAGGATAAGAAATAGAATAAGTGGAAACTAAAGGAGAAGAGGCCAACAGAGTGAAATGCTATGGAGGTAAACTAAGATAAGGACTAAAAAATATCCATTGGATTTGGTGGTTAAGACTTAGTTGCTAAAAAAAAAAAAAAAAAAAA